TAGGTGACCCTGCTTCGGCAGGAGGGTTGGACTAGATGACCCACAGAGGTCCCTTCCAACCCCTACTATTCTGTGATTCTGTGATTCTGAAGAGCGGGCTCTGGGCAATAGTTAATGAATAAATACTTTAAGAACAACATCTGATTTACTTGCAGTATAAACTCGCAAATTACAGTTGCTCTAGGATCTTCACAAAGACAGACAGAAATAAAACATAAAAATTTAAACGTGTTGAAAGCACATTAAGGTTGCTAAATCAAGCATTCAAAATTTAGGAAATGCCAATCACAGCTCTGCTTCCTTGAGTAACTGAGTTATGATCCATTCTTTAATTATACAATCAGGCACTATTTTTTTCTCCTTCATGCGTGGGCAAGTGTGTTCAGATCTCTTCCTCCTAAATTAAAGAATTAAATTGGTAGTATAAGTAGGCTGTTATCCTGTAAGTGGATCAGCCCTTACACAGGAGAAGCGCTCAAACTCAGCAGCAAGCACTGCAACTTGCAGAGGGACAACACTGGCAAAACTGTGTACGGAGGTCCAGCCTTGGCCCTAGGAGGGCGGCGAGATCCAGCAGCTCCAGCCCTGGTTACTGACAGACACGCATAGACTCATCGAATTTGTCCTGGAAGGCTGTGTGGCTAAGTGACTGCGACTTGGCACTGCTGCGTGAAGCTCCCGGGCTTCTATTCACAGCCCTGTCTGGCATGACCTTATGCAACCTTGCAGTTACCTCACTCGTAAAATAGTGGGGAATGGTCACTGCCTGACCCAGGAATAGGCCATGAAGGCTTCCTCAATAATAAGAGGTGTAGACCTCCCAAAAATAGAAACGGCCCGTAACAGAATAGGTAAGAGCAAAACCCTCCTACTCCGTATGCCTTCACCTAAGCCTGAAGCATCCTCTAATGAACACACAGCCACTATCCCTCTGAGGGTACCATCTCACCTAAGTTCCTGCACCTAAGTTCCTGCCTATTTTCCCAGAGATCAAGCCACCTACTTGCAGGTTGGGTGTAGTTTTTAGGAAACTTAGCCTTGTAAATTTTAGCCATATATTTTAGCAATTGCCAATCATTTTCAACCAATACGTTATCTGCTGGAAAGCCTCTGTTGCCATTACAACCAAAATGATGATGGAGTAGGGATCTGAAGGTTGCTGTTGAAGAAACACAAACAAATAAACAAAACAGTCTTGCATGATCAGCTATAAAAGCAAAAAATTCTTTGTGGCCACTGGGATAACAAAGGCATAAAGAGGAGTAAAGTAAGTCATTTGCTGTGCCTGGAAAAACATTACACTGTTCCACTGTCTGTCAGTTTCATTAGAAGATGTATGTTTTGCCTTTGTAACCAGTGATTTTTCTGGAGAGTGCTATCAGAGGTAGACAAATTTCAAACCAAAGATATTACTAATAATTTCAAAACCAGTTATTTATCACCACATGTTGCTAGGTGAACTCTTCAGCTAGATTCAAACTTCTTGTTTTTTAATTCTATTCTAGGAGGGAAAGTGAAGAAATGTTTGCCTATAAACTTTCCCTTAGAACTATTACACAAAACAAATCCACTTGCCTACATTTGATAAAGTTCTTGTTATAATCGTATCTTCATATGTCCAGTAAATAAGAGAGTTAGTGATTTATATAAATTAGGACATATTGATCATTGGTTTCATTAAATTGATGTCGATAGACTACAAAAAACTTTGTTTGGGAACACTTATTTAAATTTTGGAACACCATATTTAATTTAACTTGCATTAGTTTCCAAGTGATATAAGACAGACTGAAATAGTATGTTTGAAATTCATTCATTTAAAATGGCACCTTAAGTCAAACTGGTGTAATACGGTGTGCAGACACACCCTGGGAAACCTATGTTTGATGCCAGCTTAGTGAACTTGAGTAAAAGAGCCAAACATAGATAGCTATATATACAGGAATAAGAGATACACAGTAAAACTGTCTTCTTATATAGCACCCGCTGATGGGCTGCTCCTGAGACTTTTAAGGGATTGGTTAGCCCACTTTCACATTAAAAATACTGCACAAAGCTGGCCAGGATTTCAGTCATCAGGTGTTGACTGACAAATAATATAACACAATTAAATTATTTCTTGTACACTCAGGATAAGCCGGCTCTGGTCTTGTAGGTCAGTTAACATAAAGTAATTTCTTCTCATGAGTTGAGAGCAGTTTCTCCTTTCACTACTCCTCACACCCAGTGCTTGGTTACAATCCTAGCCAGTGAGATAATCACCACCCAGAAGAAACATTCCATTTCCCCTTTTTATATCTAGTTGTGCTGCCAGTTCCTCCCAGTAAGCAGTTGTACAGCCCCCGGAAGGAGAATGCAGCCTTTCTTGGTGAAATCTGTCACCGTGCCTTGCAAGTGAGGTGAAATTTAAGGAAAAACTTCAGTCAGACAGACTCCCTCACCACTTAGCCAGGGTGAAGAACTTTTTGTATATACCCAAGCAGTACATGAGCTTCACCTGATGCTTTACTACAACACCTACAGCAGGTAACTCCTGTTTGAACTGAAAACAAATATCCTTGTCAAGGAGAAAAAAAGATTAAAGAAATATATAAAAAAGCAGGAAATAAAAGCCAAATATGGAATACCTAAAGGTTTATCTGTTAAATGTTTTTGCATCTCATCTTCAAAAAAAAGAATTAAATACTGATTTGTACTCTCTTGATTCAACTGTGGTTTGCTGGAAATTTTCAAACCTGAAAAAAGTTTGTTTCCTTAATGTGTTCTATTAAACTTATAAAATATAAATATGTAAAATATAATAACAATGTTCAGGCTTACCACTAAAAGCAAGAGCAGAAGTCTTGTGACATGGTAAAACAGTATGCTGGTTTAGACCTCCTGGTAGCCCCCAAGGGAATACAATGCAGAGGAGAACACAGCACTCACTTTACTGGTTGCTATTTAGTTTTATCAGTACTCACAGGGATTCTGGATTGCATACTGCAGAAACACTTGTATATATGCAATAAAGAACTGAAAATTATGGAAAAGTTTAACAAAATGTATCAGAAAAATACCTTTCTGTAATTGAGTTTATTTCTCTAAACGTTAAGAGGAAGGCTGGAATTATTAGCAGGATAGAAAAGTAAAAAATAAAATATGATGCAATGTTAAGGAAGCTAGGCTTCCTGCCTTTCATGTCCTCTTCTTCCAAGCTATTCACAACCTTGTCATTTCCTACTGCCGTCTCTTGTCACAAACCACTCTACCCTCTTTGACTTTCCCATGGTCTCAGCTTTCCCTGACTTGTTTTCAGTGTCTCACATAAGCATTCTTTTTCCATAATTTGTAAGAGCACTCCTCTTTCTTTTACACCACTCTTCGAGACCTACCTTTGCCATAATTCCTGTAAGAAATTTACCATGTTACTATGTCTTGAGATATGAGAATGATTCCTTATTACTTTCTGTAATAAAAATGTAGTTACCAGATTCTTTTAGTTTATGACCAAAGGGCACGTAAATAGCTACATGTGCTTCTTTATATTCCTTGTCCCAGTCTTTCTGTGTCACCTTTTTGAGCTGAAAGTTATGTGCAATAATATATGAAGAAGTTTGCTTTTAAATTCCCTTGCTTAGGGAATGAGATTCTATTTCAGGCTGATAGCTGCAAATTAATATTACACAACAATTAGCTAGGAAAGATAGTGCATATTCTAAAATATTTTTAAAATGAGAAAATCGTATTCAAGCTGAGACTCTATTCACACAAAGCTCAGGAAGCGGCTTCACACATTATCCTACAATGCACACTGTCCCATAAAGCCCTCATCAGCAGTGGGTTTCAGTTATCATTATCAGAGATCCTTATATTTCATGCCATAAACACATATCAACCCTGACTCCAGGCACTCACCTTTAGCAACACTACAGCAAGCTTTTTGGGGGATGCTTCCCAGCTTCCGATTTACTTCATTTCATTCTGACTTATACTGTTTGGCAACAGCTCTCTAGACCTTAATAATATTTAAGGTGCAAACTAAAAATACTTGTCTATTCCAAAGGTCAAAGGGTCCATGTATGTACAGGGCATGTTAGGGGAAATAAATGCTCATTCATCACTACCTAGCAGGATAAACGTCAATGAAATTTCTGCTGCTTTCTCAGGGAACATGCCATGTGGGGCATCTGTTTCCTGAGACCTTTCACCAAGCTGGGCACGTGCGGCACCTTCCAACCTTTCTGCTGAAGGGAAAGTCTCTTCCTGCTCTAGCCTCAGCCTCAGTAGAAAATGTCCTTTTACTTCTCTTGTGTTAAAATTCCTTAAAATCAGACATACTGCATATGCAAGTAAATTTGACAGTTAATCACAAGTATATTCCACAAACAACCGAAAGAAAGCTAAAATCTAAACTGTCAGGAGTTTTAGTCTAACGAAATTGTTAATGGAAACATTAAAAGTTATCAGACAGGAAAACCGATCGCATACTATCACTCAGGAAAAAAATCCACCCAGAACACTGGATTTCATCTGATATTGTAAACACTGGTAAGAACATGTAAAATTTAAAAGCAATTATTTCATTGTGGTTTACTCCATAAATGAAACTGTACCTGGGGAGTCACTCAGGCTGAAGGCAATTCGTACTGGCTTATCAGCAGGTACCCTGGCGGTGGTGATCATGTGGGCACTTGAGTCAATGCTTTTACTTGTTTGTTCCAGCTGCAATAATACAAACAATATATTTATTACAGAGCATGTGACACCATTCAACAAATGAGTTTCAATGCTTTTCATGCATTCACAGCTACCTTTCCCATTCTAGCTAAGCAACGTTTAGAATCAAAGTCAAGGGAGCGCCATTTCACTTGTCCACTTAAAAAGGATTTAAGTGAAATTCAGTGCAGACACTGCCTTTCTTTTGTTATTTACAGATTAGAAAGAACGATGGCAAAGGAAGCTTCCCCTCTCCTCACCTGCTTGCTCCCCGCCATTGCCCCTTCAGCAAGCCTTGACTCGTGGCAATGCTGCCTGGTTCTGAAGGTGAAGAAGGAAGAAGGGGTGGGGAGTTGAGAGTAACACGACCCCAAGCCTGCCATGTGATTGGAAACGTGCACACCACTCCACACGTTGTCAATGAGGAGGCACCCGTCCTCCTGCCTTCCACCCATACTCCCCCAGTCAAACCGTGCCGGATAGTCACCCACTTCATCGTCAGAAAGTCACTGGGTCTCCAAACCTTGGTGATGATTCTTCAGTGGAGCTCTGTGCAGATGGAGAGGTCTGTCTGCATGGGTTTGACTCCCAGATTGGGACCTTATTCAGTCCTCGGTCTTTCTTCTGAGACCACCAACTCCAAAAAGTGGTTTATACTGAGGTGAAACCCTGTCCATTAAGAAAACTGCTGGTTCATTTCAAGCAGGGCACTAAAGAATTGTTGAGCAATGAAAGAATTAGCTACTACTGATCTGTAATGGTACCATCAAAGCATCTCTGATCACCCAAAAGTTGCACTCAGAGCTCTACCATGCATAAGAGCCTTTTGAATGAGCAGTTTTGGTTAAACTCGATTAAACAGCCGAACGCAAACTTAATCTCCTTGTATACCTAGCACAAAGCTTCTGAAATTCACAGATATCAATCTTCTGATTAGCCCCGTGTGTGGAGAACATGAAGTCAGTGGGAATTCATGCATGCAAAAGATCTGCCCATAAAGAAATTATTTTAGGACTGAAGACTATGCCATCCAGAGCGCATTGTATCCACACCAACTATGTGGACAATTATGACAGTAGCTTTTAAATAACCATAAAAATGCCCCAGTCAATTAGATGCCAAATTCTTCAGGAAAATACAATTAATTTAGTAAAAGTTGTATCACAGTCAGTAGGCAACACGGCATTTAGCTAGCGAAAACAAAAGACAGTTTCCTAAGCCCATAGTCTTGCAGTTTTTCAGTAAAGCAGCTATTGTATTGCACAGAAACCCCAACAACTCATTCTGATTTACACTTAATTATTTGGCAGTCTCAGAAAGTCAATAGAACAGAACAATATTTCTGGATTATAATCTTCCTCACTGATGCACAAGTGAATCAAATTCTTCCCTGGCATCACTGCCTTGCAATCAGTGGAAAAGTATCAAATTTGCATTTGGTCCATTGATTTCAGGATTTCTTTTTTATTTGCCTTGTCTGTCTTAATATTTAGTTAGCAGACTGATGCAGTTACTCCACAGCAATGCTGTACAAGAAATTGTTATTTGAAGTGCATAAACTTTTCTTAAAATAACAACAAATATTCTAAAACCATTACTTTGAATAAATCTCATTTGGAGCTGGGAGTGTCTCTTTCTACTAACACACAAAGAAAGGATATCACAGATTGTTCTTTATTCCCCATTACTAACAATGAAGACATACAAAAATTGAACTGATATCTATTGGGCAGATAGAAAGAAAAGTCAACTAAAATGCTGCAGTGTATGTTTTTGGGCTCGGGAAAAGATCCCTGGAATCAACTGAAATATTCCATTTTTAAGTGCATTGCATTAGACTAAGTAACTTTTACCTTTGGAACGTTATTGATCTCTTTTTTTCCCCCCAGACCTTCCCTTTATAAGAAACGTCTGAGACATCTCATTGTTTTTAAACAAAACAACAGAACTACTAATCCAAAATTCTTTGTCATATTTCCCTTCCATACCTCCCAATACAAGGTAAAGCAAAAAAAAAAAAAAAAACCAAAAACAAAGAACCAAAAAACCACAAAACAGAAGAGATTTTAAATGACAAGTACATCCTTGAAACAAGGCTATTCATCTTTCTGTGTTGGTGGTGTACATTCCCCTGACATCTGCTTACTATCTCAAGTGGTCTTCCATGTAAGAGTACACTTAACGTTTTATATCATAGCCTATGAAATTAAAATGATGCATTCTGCTAGAGGTTTTTAAATTGCCATAACAACATTGCTAGGAGTAAATCTGTTGTCTTATCCCAGTCACCTACTCTGTGGTCTCCAATGCCTTTAAATTACCTCCTTTATCCACCTACTATGTGAGGGCAAAAATCAATACCCCCTTAATAAGCAATGGTGAATTCTATCATAATACCAAGGAGTGTTTTCATTTTACTCCAATCCACAAAACAAATCTCATCTTTATACACAGCAATTACCCTGCTATCTTTTTTTATTATAGATATTGCATTTATCCTTTCATTCCTTTTTGCGCGGAATCTTCAAGCTTTTCATCACAAAAAGCAATCAAAGGGAACAGAGAGGGATGGAAGCAGCCTGTGTGCAGATGAGGTGATGCAGGAGACACGCAGACCAACTGCCCCCAGCTCCCCACCTGCTTTCTGCCTGCAGGAAGAACAACGTCTCTGCAGACAGAGATGAGGGTGAGTGGGCAACCTGGAATTTAACAAAATTTAATGAGCAGCTCCCTTCTTCACAACAATTGCCCATAGAACTGGCTGCTGTTTCTCCATAAAAAATCTGCAGCAGAACTCAGATTAAGTGCTGTTACAGCTCTATCTATTTAGTTCAGTTTTCACACCTGTTGCCTTACCTCACTTACTGGAGTGTCTGCACTTGTATAATCCAGGGCCAGCCACTGCCTTGGCTTCTCGTTGCCTTTATGGAGTAAAGCTTCAATAAAAGAAAAGGCTGCACCTGCTGCATAGCAACAAGCTGACAAGGTCTGAGAAGCTGAGACAGCTGTCAGGGCAACATGCTGCTACCTGCACTTCCCATAGGCTTTGCTGTCCCAAAAGATCACTCTTTTCCGCTTTTCTCCACAATTCTGCCTTTCCTTCCTCTCCTTGCCAGTGACGAGGGATTACGATGCTGTCACGCTTCAGGGAGGAAAAAATCCTTCTGTCACAGGCATTATTAAGCAGCAAACTGTGGCGAGCCCAAGATTTTTAATTCATTAGTCCTGGCAAACCTAAAATACAAACAGACTTGCTTCATAGGACAGGAATGTTTTCAGCATGACCCAATCAGTGTCTGTGTCTATTCCAGCAAACTGGCAAAGATAGCATGACTCCAGTCAGCAAAAATGTCTGCGGCTCCAATCAGCTTGGGCTGCCACTGCCAGCTTGGACGGGCTACAAGCGAACTATCAAATGATAGCAGCGACTATCAAAGCTAACAACAAGGGATGGGCTTGGCGCGTTAGGCTAGCTCCGTGTTGGCTTGGGTCAAGCTGGGCTTGTCTACCAGCAGACGATGGCCCTGCGCTTCTGAGGAGGCAACGGGCGGATTTCAGAATGTGCACGCTGTGAAAGCAGAGGTATTTATAGAGGAGCGGGCGATGGCAGTGATAGCTGAAGCTGACTAAGTCAGAGATTTGACTGAACTCAGAGGACTTCCTAGTGCGATTTCAGATAGCGTTTGTCAGTTTTGAAACCACAGGCATGCAATTAATAGATAAATCTTGAAGTATCACAAGAGAGATTAATTTCTTTAGCTTAAACTTTTATTTTGTGTAGCTGTGTCATGCACATGTATTGCCTACATGACTTCTCTGATTGACTGCTATCAATCACAGTCATTAGAACAAATGGAGAAAAATGGAGAACAATTATGGAATGATTATACAGAATATCTTTATACTTATTGTCCTGTGCCTGAAAAGGGGGTTCTCCTCCTGTTATAATTTGAACTGTATTTTGAAGGTGTATTCTATCTTTTAAAATTCCAAACAGAAAAGCTTTCTCTAACTTAGATCTCCTGTACAGGGACAGTGCTAGTTTCTCTTAGCTCAGCTGAGAGATAGAGAGGTTGCGGGACAAATAGAGATGTGAAGGTCTGAAGTCAAATTTTCATCCTTCCTCACCCTCTCACCTTCTGGCCCTAGCCCAGGATTGATCTAATTAGTGCAAACCTCAGGAAGCCAGCAGTTGCCCTTGTGGCCTCAGAAGACCTTTTTCATACTTTGAAATGACTAAACTGCAAAGATATTCTACCCACACTGCCTTTCCCCCAGCAGTGACCTGGGAGGGTATCAGACAGCCACACCATCAGTTAGGTATCTGGTGAGGCTGTCTTTTTAACTGCAGTGTGATTTCAGAGCAGGCTATGGGCTCTGCCCCAAAGAGTTACTGAAAAGCGGGACTGCGCCTCTGACTACACTGACCATTTTCTCTTCTCTTGATGTGTTTCTGAAAAGACTGAGTGTTCCTCCCTACGGATTTCCTTTGGAAGGGGAGGGAGAGAGACTTGTCTCTGATCACAACCATTACTGCAAATAATGTTCTACAGCTCAATACCATCAGCAGTTGATATTGATCTCCAGCTCCAGGTCCAATTATTGTGAAAGCATTTGTTTGAAGATACAGAATATTCTGGCTCCAGTGAAATCACTAAAAATATCCTGCTTCAGTTTCCGTGGAGCCAGGGTTTCCCCCAAATCATAAGATCCTCTTTCGCTTTGTGTGGACAGAAGGTACTTAGATGGTGTGAGTGCCTTCATTACATACCATTACAGTAAAGCCTAAAAAAGCCTCACTACATAAAATCTTAAGACGTGGGAAATCTTCAGTAGCCATGACAGCAAGGGTCTCGGACAGAAATGATGGCTGAATAGCCCAGGGGTAGTTTTTCCACATGGATCCTACACTCCACAGTTCCAGACTGACACTTCATTCGTACTCAGTTGAAATAGTATGTGCATTTGCAAATTGAGTTCATAATAATTTTATGTTTTATACCCATTGTATACATATTTTTTAAATGTCAGTGTTTCTGGTTAAATACGTATTATTATACACACTTTACAACTGAAGGTGGAATCACTTGCACTTCACTTAATGAGCACACTCCTTAGGGCTGTGCTGCTCCCGAAAGCTATGAATCATGTGCTAAGATACCAAAACTGCACAAACCAAAAGCCCCCTGATTTGCATTTAAATATCAGTTCCGTGCTTTACACACAATGATTAGTCACCTGAAACTACTACTTTATGGAAGGTAGTGTATTTTTAAAATGTGAGAATATTATAGCATTTTGTATACAGAACATTAAATTTGAAGCATCAGATGAATTATTGGACTGTAACCATTTTGTCATCTGTTTATCATTGGGGCTGTGGTGCTAAAACCCCCAACAATATCAATTTAAACAGCACATTTTAAAAGGTTCTCTAAATTATTTTATAACAATAAACTAGGGAAGATCTCAATTTTAAAAAACAGGGAAATTGAACTCTAGAGTGCGTCCCTTCCATGACTTGCTCAAATTAATATTCAAAGGCATTGTACATTTTGGGTAGAGATAAATCCCACTTTGCTTATTCCCTAACTAGGTGACTAAAATCTGTGCATCTAAGACAATTACTCTCCCATTTATTGCAACACAAAAAAATACTTCTTTGTACCAGGCTGCACATAAACATTACAATCATCTCTGTGAAAATTACAGAATGCTGATAATTCCAGGTTTTTCGTGGAGGAGCACAGCTTGCCGTGTTTCATTTTCAGCATATTCTTAGTCATCAGATGCCTGGTACCCAAGCAAAATTCTTTCAATCCTGTATCACGTTATGAAATTGGTGATATGCTAGAAGAGAATATCGTGTTTTATTGATCAAAAACACCTTAAAGAAACACTCTAAATTAGGAACACTTTCTGTTACACCTTAAAGGAACACTCTAAATTAGGGACTTACTGATACTCAGTAGTAGAAACATGCATGCTTCTAACAATTTTTAGGACGAAGTATCAGTTTTTCTACTGATGTAAAAAAAGCCAATATCTGCTATCTAATAAAGCACCTGTTGCCTTCCCTTTTTTAGCTGTGCTACTTTCAATTCATCTCAGTTTCCTAGTATAAGCAGTATTTTAGTAGCATATGACCTCATTCATGCTAAAATGGTGTTTCACAGATTGCCAGTCACTATTTAAAAATACACTTTAAATATTCTAGCATATGGAAGATGTTCCAAGGAGAAATTTAATAAAAATAAAAACACTTTCCCTAAAACTGCACACAGAGCAAAATCTTCATTTTTTAGGTTCCTCTGAGTACAAACAGAATGCCATTTTCAACAATTTCTGATGAACCTATTTCTGCTGCCAAATTTGTTAAAAATCCCACTGTGGGAGGGATTTGGTCCCCTTTACTGACATTGGGGCTGATCAGCGTGAAGCTGCTCCATGCTATAAGGAGTTGATTTTGAAAGCATAAACATTGGTGAGTCACGTCCTTTAACTCCCCATTACCTGCAGAATTTCCAAGACCACTTGGATTGCATGGCTCAGAATTTGCCAAACATTAAAAGCTAGATGGTATAGTCCATTTGTCTGCCATGGTAATTGAATAAGTACTTTCACACTAGCCACAAAAATAGGATTTCTTTGTTGTCCTTATATCTTCTTGAAGTCCATAAGGATAACCATTTCCAGTCTGCATGGAACTGGGCAAAGAACTCTTCTTTTCTACAGCAGCAGTTATCCTAGGTGAGATCAGAGCATCCAATGTAATGTCATAAAATCACAATATTCCCAGCCAGATATCCAGAACCAGAGAAGAATACTTCTTTCTTGTCTTTTGAATAATGGAAATGTATAGATCAAATATACATTATTTAGTTTTGTTGCACCTCACTCACAACCTAACATCCCAAGTCCTGACAACTGGAGCAGCCAACGGAGCACTTTGTTACTGTTCTTAGATACTACCTTCAGTGTCCTTGCCTAGGTAGTATTTTAACACAGGTAAAATAACATACTTTCCCTAAAGATCTATGCTCGTAAATGGCTGAACCCTATCAGATGAAATTAACTCATTAAAACCAGCATGAAACATACATTAAGAATTGACTTAAAAAATAGCATATGAGAAACTTTATAATTAATGGCAAATTGATATGCAATAGCTGAATTCACTTATATAGGATCATACAGATCTAATGAAGGAGATATTGTTGCAGAGAAATTAAAAAATATGCTCAGTCAATGTAATGTGGAATTACAGGTGTTGATTCAACAGTTTTTACACCTGCCTTAAGACCATCTGGAAATAACTGCGTCTTGAATCATTTGAAAGCCCGACTGGTGAAAATCTCCATCGCTTCCACAGCAAACTCTAGACAGAACTTGTGGGAAGCTAATTTTGCTGAGAGGAAGAAAACTGTAGCCTTTGAGATATGAAGCTGTCAAAGACCCTTGCATATCTCTTGCATGGAAAACAAGATGAAAGCTGAAGTTGGAAATATTACAGAAAAGCCTCACTGTTGTCAGAAATTAGCAGGTGCAAATACGCTTTGCTCACATCGGCACAGAGACAGAAATAACCTTTAGAAACTAATTATGGGAAGCATGGTGGCATGTCATCTCAGCAGGGAATGATGGAGGGTATGGATTGACACTGTGCAGCAATTCACTGGGAGATCAGCAGCCGAATGTTCAAAGCTAGCATTGGCTAGCACTGGCTAACTGGAAACACCAGCACTTTCTCGCAAGCACTTAAACACAAATGCAGCAATTTTGCTTACCAATTGTACCACTAAACCACATCCAACTGTCGTAGGACAAAAAGATAATTCTCTCATATCTGTGTAAAAGCGGAGTAATTACTTTGTTTCAGTTGGACTTGCCCTTCCTTCAGGGAATGCTCAGCTTACCTTACTTAAGTACTTACCCGAAGAGGATACTATAAGACATGACAGCTTCACTTGCTGATGATGGCTGAGGTCATCATGCTCTCATAGATACACGCACAAGACTTCAAAGTCAGCACACATTTTTCATGAAGCTTTGCTGCTGTAAGGAAGAAATCAGCATTCAGAATGTGGTGAAATCCCCAGTAGCAGCTGGTATTCTGCCCATACTTGAAACCTTGCTGCTGATTCAGCACCGAAACTGCCTTAGTTAACAGTGCCAGTTGCAAATGTAGAGGAGAAGTTTAGAAACAATAAATGTTAGAATACTTA